CGCCCTTGCTCTCCACCACAGCAGTCTGGCAATGATAATGAGTGGTTATTTAGGTGACATCTGCCCCATGCCTGTTTGCCTCAGAGATCTGGTGAGCACCAGGGCAAACTGTATTCCTGGGGTCCAGCATAGCAGAGGTGTGAATTCATGAAATTTGTTGAATGATTGCCCGTCGGAATAGCAAACATGTTTTAATTCTACCATACCCAGTTGAGCCTAGCCCAGCCACTGACATTAAAAAGTTAGAGGCTTATAGGGAATTCACCTGTCAAGACTGTTAGGCTCTCATTTTTTAGATCAGCGCTCCACTCTTACTGGCCAATAAGATACTAGTGGTATTTCTTAAAAAATTTTTTTTCAGGCAATAGAACCAAAGCAGTATAACATCTTTCAGCCAGGACTGGTTGTTTCTATAACTGGCTGATGTTATGATGGTCTTGAAGGGCACTAAATACGACGTAGGTGACTTGAAAGACTTAATCCAAATCTCTGAAGAATGAAACTTCCCACCATTGAGCAATTTGGTGCCCGTGGGATCAATCTAATTATTCTTGTGACTTAAAGATATTCTTCTCCAAACGAAGGCATAGAATGCTCTCAGCAAGTTGGAAAAAAATGATAAATCACTAAAACCATTCCAAAACTCTTGGGCACAGTTAAGTATCACCACAAATTTGGCCAAGGTTAGTCTGAAAAGATGACCATAGTAAGTGCTGTAGCACTTTAAGGTCATGATTCTTGGCCCCTAACTCTGTGATGGAGAATAAAACAAGAGGGATTTTGTGTTGGCCAAATGATAGAAAGAAATTTTCATTGAACTAAATAAAAATAAAGGAGGTCTTCTATGTACTTTTCTCACTATTGATGGATTCATTCACCTTAGCTAGGTTCAATCAATTTCCTGGAAATTAGTTATACATTGGGCTTTATCACTGGTCAAAAGCTGAAAGTCTTATACCCAACCTATCGTTGGTCGAAAGTCACGTCCTTTTCATGAGGCTGATAAATGACTACATTCAGTGTACAAAGTCCTTCTAAGAATATGCAGATACTGATATAGAACCTATTCAAATCCACATGGTTACCCATAAATAGCAAAGGACACACAGGGCTTCCTTGGAAACTAAAACTCTGGTAGGAGGTGACATCTGAGATCCCCGGGGAATATAAAGGGTACAACCTACACAGTCCTGCGTCACCAGAAGGTCATCTGATGGCCCTTTATTTGAGAATCGAATTGCATTTCCCGGATGCCAACAAAAGCCCACCTGACCCACAATGAAGCTAAATCTGCAAGTCTAACCGTGTGCTTTCACTGCCTCTACATAGTCCAAGCTCCTACTCAAGGCACCAGAAACACAAGTTGTCACCACGGGCCAGGGCGGCAGACCTGGATGGGGATCCAGCAGGAGCAGGATGCAGGAGAGGAGCCCCTGGCGGCAGAGACAGTTACTACTTAGGAGTTCAGAATTTACAGCCACCTCAGCAGTTAGTATTTCTTTTTCTTTGTGTTGAGGAATAGGTGCAAGATGAAGGATCAAAAGATAAAGCTGGTGTAATCTCTTAATGCCCTGTGGTCACAAGTGTTCCTGCTTCTGAGGAGAAGCCAGGGCTCATGTGCGTTGGTGCACAAAGCAAAGTGTCCTTGGGCACACTGTTGCCTTTGGTGCAAGCGGGGACTCGGAGGGTGTGTTCTGTGGGTACATGTGCCCCACTGAGTCTGAACTCTGACCTGCCTCCAATATAGAGGCTCCAGAAAGTGCCACACAAGAAGAGACACGAGGAGGCCTTGGCCATAGCTCTGACGGGGCACACCAGAGCCAGAACCCATTTTAAAGAAGAGTACCCGCTGGCTGGGTGCAGCTTGTTTGCCTTTGCTCAAAAGTCCTTAGGTTCTCAGAGTAAAAGGCCACAGGACCATGGGCCAGAAAAATATGCCTGGCTAATCAGTGGAGAGGCAGAATGGATGCAGTGACAGCTCTTTGGCTCTGGAGTCCGATCCCCTGGGATTGAAACCTAGTTTTCCTCCCAAGCTGTGTGACCTATAGCAAGTTATTAACCTCTCTGGAAAAAATATTTTTTAAGTTTATTTGCTTATTTTGAGAGAGACAGAGACAGCATGAATGGGGGAGGGGGAGGGGCAGAAAGAGAGAGAGAGAGAGAGAGAGAGAGAGAGAGAGAAACCCAAGCAGGCTCCATGCTGTCTGCTTAGAGCCCAATGTGGGGCTCTAACTCACAGAATGTGAGATCATGGCCTGAGCTGAAATTGAGAGTCGGATGCTCAACCAACTGAACCGCCCAGGTGCCCCATAACCTCTCTGAAATTCAGCTGCATTATCTTCAGACTGGGGGTTATTGTGAGGATTAAATGAGACAATTCATGTAAAGTGCAGAACAGAGTACCTGTCATATGGTAAATGCTTTGGAAAGCGTTAGAAATCGTTATTTTAGCAACTTGATGAAAAAAAAAAACGTTTAAAGCTCAAATAAATCATATCAGGTAAGAAGGGAAGAAAATACAGATAAAAACAAAACAAAATAACACAATGCATCCTCTGAAAAGACTTTGCATTAATTGAGAATCCAGGCTCAAGGGTCAAAAGTTGTTATGTGAAAATTAAAAAAAAAAAAAGGAAGAAAGTGCACATAAGTGTGTGTGTATGCACAGGCACACGGGCATTCTTGAGTATTTTAAATGTTTTATGGGAGGACAGTGGAGATTTTCTAGGGTTTACATGGCGTCATTCACTTGAAATTAAGTGTAACAAGTCATTAGGCAAGGAGCCCACTAACTAAGGCATATGGTCAAGGTTTCCAGGGTGTAACGCCTCAGTGAGGTGGTGCCCTTCAGAAATGCCCTTGGAAGGAATAAACCATAAGGAAGGGAGGAGGAGAGGCGGGACGTGGGGGCAGTGCCCGACAGGGTACTGCTTAGGTGAGGGGAGAGGTTTGGCCAGAGTCTACACGAGTAAACATGGGCTCCAGCCCACAGAGGCATTTGGTTCTCAGAACTGGCAGACTGGTGGATATGGCACAGCTCTGGATTGGGGGCCAGAATGAGAGGTCCCGACTGACCTGGCTGGGCTGAAGGTGACACCAGTTCTTAGCTGCAGGGATTTCAATTCGTGCCCAGGAGAGTAACCAGAGGGGATACAGGCACCTGCACAGCTATACTCTGCGCTTCGCTTCTGAGAGCTGCTTAATTAACACCCACACCTCCCTTTCCCCTGCCTCTGCCTGCTCCTTCCAAGGTCTCCTTTCCATGGCACCGCAGGGTCTCCGTCTACTACAGTGTCGTTTTTAGAATAGAAGGTGGTGAACTTCAAACTTCTCTTGCACGGAGCATTCTTCACACTGACAAGAAGACAGACTTATAAACTGAAATTGGAACGTGCTTCACTTGCCCACTGATGCTTGCAGAAGCCTGCAAGGTCCTATTGTGAGGGTCGCAGTTCAAGGCTTCAATGACTTATTTCGGGGCTTGTGTGGACATTGAGATCAGATCTCAATGGGTGTGAACACTGTGCACTTAGCGGCCCTGTGATATTGGGCCAATTATTTCAATCTCTTCCTGAACTTCAATTTCCTCTTGGTTAAATGGGGATTGTATGCATTCGGCATGAGAAGCAATGGATATACGCAAAGAGATAATGATAGTAGATGAGATCCTGGATATAAGCAAATAACCTCACCCAGGAGCTGGCGCACAGAAGTCACTTTATAATTGCAACTGTTGGGTATTATTGTGGCTGGTCTGTGTATGAACATTCCAGGGATATATGAGGTTGATAGGATTTTACTGCAAACTGAAACGGAGGCCCTCACCGATTTAAACCAGGGAGGCTGGACCTGGATGTGCCAATTAAAAAGCAATCTGCTCCTGGTGCCTGCAATCCACCAGCCTCGAACTGCCGTGGCCACCTGACAGAGCAAGTGAATTGCTGTAAACCGTTAACGAGGAGCAAGACGGCGTTTGGGAAAACTGTAAAATTGCTGCCCCATTATCATGCAGTCGGTCAACCTTTCATCTGCCATCAGACTTTTCCAACAGCTATGCTCTCAGTTTCCTAACTATCTAGAGGCTTTGATGTAGCCCATAAAGGAAGGAGGCTTAACAAACTTCTGTAAGACCACAAGGGTGAGAGCCTCACCCAGGACAAGGCATGCAGGAAGGTGTGGCTGCTGGTATGGTTTCCCACACAGATGACAGCAATGCCTGCTGGTGAAGGCAAGTGTGGCCAGCAAGCTGGAGGACGGGTCCTGGATACTAAAGGTGTGCAAAAGGACTTGTGAAGTGCTTTCCACAGTGTCCAGAGGGGTGACGAAGGGGTATCTACAGGAGGACCCTGCGTTTCCATACCTGACATTTCACTTGCCTGCCTAGTCACTGCGGTCTACTTAACACCTATATTGTACCTCTCCATATTGACTCATTTATTCCTATATTAGTTCATTCATTCCATGAATACTCACGAGGCATCTACCATGTGCAAGGCCCTGTTCTAGGTGCTAGAGATACATGATGGAGAGATGCATCGGGGACGAAAGAGACAAAATCCCCTGTCCTCGGGAGCTCAGATTCCAGCGTAAGACGTGCAAAGGTACCTAGAGAGTACATGTGAAGGTGGTAAGAGCTGTGTAAAAATGATAAAGCCGGGAAGGGCAACAGGACATGCTAGAGGGAAGGGGTGCAAATTTAAGTAAGGTGGTCAAGGAGGCTGCACTGAGGAGGTGATATCTAAGTAAGACTTGAAGAGGCTGAGGTCTTTAGCTGCTTTCCTGAAGTGACCACACCAAGGTCACTTCTCACCAAGGTCACGCCCTGGCCCCCTGCCAGGCAAGGGAAGTCCTTGACTGGTAACAGCATTCGGGCCTCATCCTCCTTTGCAAGTTAAGGTGTGTGCTCCCAGCGGGCCATGGCCCCACACAAGGATGGGACACTCAGGAAGCGACCTGGCCAAGAGGCGTGGGCTTCCACGGTGGCCCAGGCAGGTGCTCACCTCCTCCAGCCGCCGCCGCTGCTCCTTCTGCTCCTCTATGCGCTTCTGGCGCTCGGCCAGCAGCTGCCTCTTGTGTTCCTCGTTCTCCCGCTGCTGCTGTTCCAGCTGCTGCCGCCGCAGGGCCTCCGAACGCTCCTTGTTGGCCAGCTGGAGCCTCAGGAAGTCCCGCCGCAGCGTGGACTCCCCTGGCAGGTTCAGAATGGAGCTGTGGGCAGGAGGGAGAGATCAGGATCCTGCGTGCGGCAAGGGTCATTATTACCCGGGTCCTCGGGAGGACAGCGGGCAAACAACTCCCCTGTATGCGGGGAAGGGAGCCGCATGTGCCAGCGGGGGCTCTTAGACCCTCTGTTAATTACAGTACTCATCCCCAGGGAAACTGAGTCAAGGCTCAGCCTCCTTTTCAGTGTGACTACTGCATACGTGTTCTGTCTCCATGCCTAGATGGAGATGTCATCACCTCTCTCCAGCACTGTCCACGCTGCTCCCTCACCCTTGTGACATGCAAAGATCTGCTTCTAAAGGTTTTAATGAGTGTGCAAGCCTTAGGCCCTGGATCGGCTGGTTTTCATGTTTAAGAAAGGCACAAAAAAATCCAGCAAATGAAATGAACAACCGGGAGCAGCAGGGAACCTATTCTACTAAGATGAGTACATCACCCCCACCCCCCCACCTCCTCTGTGACTCCCTGCACCAAACCCCAGGAGGCAAAGGACAGGCTGCTCATGTGAAGACATGATGAGCCAGGGAGGGAGAACATTTGAGTCAAGGTCAACACGGAGTAGAATAGGAACCCAAGTCTGCCAAAGTCAGAGAGTTCAGGGCTTGTCTCGCTGCACCAGGATTAAAGAGAAGTGACATGGTTTGTTCTGGAGCAGATGGTGTAGACTTCAACCCAGCTCACTGATTCCTAGATTCTGTTTAAGCACCATGGGCTTCAGTTTCCTCATCTGTAAAACGGTGGTTGTGCATCATGTGTATGTGTGTGTGGGGGTGTGTGTGCGCGCGCGCACATATAAGAAAGAAAGTAGAAAGAAAAAGAGGATAGAAAACACCATACAGCAACTCTCCCCACAGCCCTGGTCTAGGGCTGTCCTATTCACATCTAACTGCATGTGAACAACTCAAAGTTAGACTCTTTGGTTGCACACAGCAGCCTAACAGGGAGGTGGGGAAGGCTCTTATTTGTTCATGCAAATCTTTTCATCTTTCTGGCAACTTCCACTTGCGATCAATCCATTAAATAACTATTGACCCTTTCTAGGTAGCAGGCACTGTGATAGGTTCCAGTGGATACAGCAGTTACTCAATGAATGTTCTCTCTAGTTATCTTGTTGTGGGGAAGAGAGACAGACAAATAATTAGATAAGATACAAATAACAATTTCACGTAGGAGCAGGGCTCTATATAAGACAAAAGATGTAATGGCTTAAGAGTGGCAATGGCAGGAGGCTGGGGCGAGAATTAAGGGTTCTGCTCAAGACGGGGGTGATCAGGGAAGAACTTTCTGAGAAGGTGCCAGATGAGCCAACACTCAAATGATGACGGGTTGGTCCCACAAAGAGGTAGGGGAAGAACTTTTCAGGCAGAAAGAAAAGCAAATGTAGAAGCCTGTGGCGGGGACAGGTGCGGCATCTTTGAGGAACCAAACTCCATGGGACTTCCCAGAGCACAGTGAAGGAGAAAGGTGGTCCAAGAGGAGGCCAGAGAGACTGGGCAGACCCGGGAAGGCACATGGCATGGAAGCCAGCAATGGAAAGGTTATAGTCAGGGTAGTGACGTGATGGGATTTGTTGGCTGCTGAATGGACTTCTGTCTGCAGGGCGTGGGAGGTGAGGGCAAGCAGGGCCACCAGCTGGGCTGGCACTGAAGTGGCTCTGTGGGGTGGGGCGGTGAGGATGGAGGCAGAGAAGCACTTGCTGGGAGAGCTGATGAAGCCTGTTGATGGATCTGGTGTGTGGAGTGAGCAATGCTTGCAGGTTTTGTCTGGCACCTGGACAGTGGTGGTGACGCAAACGGGAGCAGATTTGGTGGCAGTTGACGAGGGGATTATTCTGTTTTGGAGAGCGGTTAGCATGCCGCGTGACTGCCATCAATGCCAAAAAATGACATGAAAAGGCTTTGTTCATGATATCCCACAGACGGTGCTTGGATTCTACTAACAAAACTCCTCTAAAACTTACAGCTTTTGTGTAGGACTCTAAACCAAACCCCAAGCAAGAGAGCTTATCCACACAGGCCACAAGCTCCGTGCAAAAAGGCAGGACTTGGGGAGCCCGGCCTCACCATGCACACGAGGATGCACTGGTGTTGAATCAATTGATGTTGAATCAATTAACTGATGTCGAATCAGTGTCAGGCGATTTGAGCTGTAGTAGTAGCTCAGTCATAAACTTGGTGTGTGACCTGCTTGCCATCTTTGAGCTCTCACCTCATTTTTAAAATGAGATAACCACTGTCCCTTTCGAGTTTTCAGGATTTCACAAAGATTAATTACATATGCCCATAAAACAGGACTTGGAACATAATCTTCAGTGTGATATAATGACACGTTACAATTATAGAAGCGTTAAGGCATGGCTAGGTCAGCCCGCTAAGTGACTCAGTTTAGCAAGTACTAGTTAAAATGTGGCTTCTCAGTTCTCTAGAGAGTGATCAGAAGGGCTGACGTACATCTGGGTGAGCTTTGGAAAAATAAAAAAATAGTGCACAACCTCTCTGAATGCAGGGCATTTGGTCCTTTGCCTTTGATGGTCACTACTTGACAGACATTATCTCTATGTAGCTAAACTGGGGGTGGCCCATGTAAAGTATCAGATGGAAGGAAAAACTTTCCTTCAGTCTCTGACCTTGAAAATTCCTGTAGCAGGTGAAGAGAAAAACTGGATGGCCCAGTAAGTCCCTCCTTCTTCCTGTAGTTCAGCAATAATCCAGCTTGGGAGATCTGAGTTAACTCAAAAAAAGAAGCCACTGGTTCATTCTAACAGCAGTGGCTGAGCTGGCCTCTTTCCTGGTCAGGTAGCTCCACCCCAGCAGTATGGCAATTATGCCTCCCGGATCATTGGAGTCCTCTCCTTGGATGGCTAGAGGATGGAGCCCCATATACCCCACTGAGCTTTCTTCTTTTGCATTTTCCCCGATAGGAAATCTCACTTCCCATCACCATGGTGTGTGTGCCTGTCCCCCTCAACTCACCAAACTGCTGCCAGCTGAATTGTCTCAAGGAACAGAAATCCCAGCAGTGTGAGTACACTAACCTTAATCATTCATAAACACACTGGAAGAAAGTCGGAATCAATGTCAAGTGAAATTCAAAACGCAGGGATGGTAATGATAAAAGCAGCATTGGTTCTGGGATCCAACATGTGACAACTGAGGTGGGCATGAATGTTTCTATGTAGGGTTCCCCTCTCGAGCATGATTCGATTTCCTGGAAATTATTTCCTTTCAGATTAGACTGTGGTGAAAATACCAAGACATGTGACAAGGACAGTGGCTTCCCAAATGGGCTTCTTAAAGAAAGGTATGATGTTGGGGCGCCTGGGTGGCGCAGTCGGTTAAGCGTCCGACTTCAGCCAGGTCACGATCTCGCGGTCCGTGAGTTCGAGCCCC